GGAAGATCTCTCTCTCCCTCTCTCTCTCACTCTCACTCTCTCTCTCTTCCTCTCTCTCCATAACAATGCCTTTCAAATAAATAAAATATATAGAAAGAAGGCAGGCAGGCCTCTCACCCGGGAAAGCTGCCTCATCCCATTGGACCCTGTGACGGTTCTGCACCAGGCAAAGCTCTCGGCACAAAGCCGCTGCGGCAGGTGGCACCGCCGTGAGACGGGGTGTGCAAATGCCCCCTATGTGGAGTGTGCTGTGCACCGGGACGCCCTGGCCACACTCACGACTGCGGCGCACTGAGAAGAGCTGACGGAGGGGACAGAGGCAGCCCCGTCCGCCTGGGCACAGCCTGGGGACAGCAGAGCGGCAGCGGCACACACGCCCGGCACACACCAACATGAGCCGTTTGCCACTGCAGTGCTTTGACGCTAAGCAGCTGGAACCAGGGACCGGGCGGCTGGCAGAACTCACACAAGGCACCGCGTAAGAGACAGCTTCGTGCAACCCACACCCCCATGAGGGGTTCTCACCTGTCTCGCAAGAGGTCAGCTGTCCACTTCCCACTTCCTGTACCTGTGTTCCTTAACCAGGGCCAGGGTGGTGGGGGTGGGCTCCGATCTGGGCAGGGCATTGGAGCAGGACAGTCCCTGGAGCTTATGTAGCGGCCACTTCTGCCACAAGTGGACCCCGGAAGGCCCCTCGGCCAGCCACGGCGCCGCTCCCCAGGGCCCTGCTGCCTGCCCCCGGCAGAGGGGAAGGGCGGCTCCCAACCTGTACCTGCCACAGCTCCAGGTTCAAGTTCCCTGTAAAGCTTTGTAAGACATGGTCTGATCAGAGGGTGCCATGGGCGCACCCAGGGGTCAGGGGCTCAGGGCGGGGCCCAGCCGCTCTCAGGAAACCAGCAGCCTGAGGAAGCCCCAAGGTGCCCGGGGGTGCTTATTTTTACTTGAGTGCTGATATGTAAGCACCACCTGTCGCCTGCATATAATATTTACCCGTGACATACACAGGAATGGCGGGACATGACGTGGCCAGCCCTGAGCCACACGGAGGGGAGGGGCGGTGACCGCACAGAACACGGGTGTGGCACGTCCTCAGACCACGTGGCCGCAAGGGGCTGGCTTCCGGCTGCAGGTGCTCTGAGTATTAGGAGACTTAGTATAAGACTTAGTATAAGGAGTTCCGGCGGCTCCCACGCCCCCATCCAGCCTCCCCCGCCCAGCCCTGTGCTAGTGTCAATCACAGGTCTCTGCCTGCTGGCTCCACGCTGGGCACGCAGCCCCTGACCTTGGCCCTTGATGGTCAACCCACAGGCGTGGCATCCACAGACAGCTTTCCGGGTGGTGCCTCGGAAGCGGAGTCTTAAGGCCGCCGCTGGCCCACGAAGCAGCGTTCACGCCCCGCCAGCTGTGCCTTCTGCCTCCGCCTGTGCGCTTCGTACCTGGTGAACATCCCCCCCTTTGTTTATTCTGGGGGGGGGGCTGGACTCCGTTAGACGAGGGACTAGGAAAGCAGCCCACACAGCACGCAAGCATCAGGCGGAGCGGAGAAGCGGTCTCGGGCCAGCTCCTTCCTCTCCCGACTGATCCGCAGCTGTGCCAGCCGCAGCGTCCTCGACTCCGACTCCAAGCACCCCCGCCCCAGTGCTCCTGGGCCTCTCCCTAGAATGGGCCCTGTGAGCTGCAGCGGCCCCCAGCCCCTGCAGGGCTCCCCCGCACCTGGCCCACCGCTGCAGCTGGGATGCCTGCCGCCAGCCAGCACCGCGAGCATGTCCACTGGGTGCGCTGCGCGCAGAGCGGCCGAGCTGGCTCCGACGGGATCTTCAGTGAAAACAGCCTCTCCTTTACGTAAGCACACATGAGGGCAGGTCACCCACACACACACGCATGCACACACACAGACATACACACGCATGCACACAGATGCACACACATGCACACACATGGACACACAGAGACGTGCACACACACAAACATACACATGCATGCACAGACGCAGACACACACAGACATACACACAGACACGCACATACATGGACATACACACACAGATGTGCACACATGCACGAACATACACACGCATGCACATACATGGACATACACACACAGATGTGCACACATGCACGAACATGCACACACATGGACATACACACATGTGCACACAGATGCACACGCGCACACACACAAACATACACATGCACGCACACACGCATACACACGGACATAAACACACAGACGGATGCACACACAGACACGTGCACACACACACAGACACACACACACGCACACACAGACATACACACATGCACATGGACATACACACGCATGCACACAGACGTGCACACACGCATGCACACATGGACATACACACAGACACAGACACGCACACGGACATACACACTGACACGCTCACACATGGACATACACACACAGATGTGCACACATGCACGGACATACACACGCACGCACACAGACGTGCACACACACACACACAACTCCACGACTCACTTCCAGGGCTGGGCTCCCTTCACGGACAGCACCTGTACAGGGCACTCCCGCTGACTCCGCAGAGCTGCTGTCTAGCACACTGACCTGCGGCTGCACGTGGCTCCTGAAGTAATTTAAGATTCGATAACAGGGCCGGCGCCGCGGCTCACTAGGCTAATCCTCCACCTGTGGTGCCGGCATCTCTTATGGGCACCGGTTCTAGTGCCGGTTGGGGTGCCGGTTCTGTCCCGGTTGCCCCTCTTCCAGGCCAGCTCTCTGCTGTGGCCAGGGAGTGCAGTGGAGGATGGCCCAGGTGCTTGGGCCCTGCACCCCATGGGAGACCAGGATAAGTACCTGGCTCCTGGCTTCGGATCAGCGCAGTGCACCAGCTGCAGCGGCCATTTGGGGGGTGAACCAACGGAAGGAAGACCTTTGTCTCGCTCTCTCACTAACTCTGCCTGTCAAAAAAAAAATTGATAACAGTTAAAATCAGCTCCTGGCCTGCACCAGCCACACCCCCATGTGCCCCAGCCACAGGCTGCTCACGGCTGCTGTCCTGGGCAAGCCCCATGAAACCAAACCACCGCCCTGGCCTCTCACAACGGCACTGCCTGTATGCTGAACAAGGCTGAGTGGATAACAAAATATTAGTTCTGACTGTAAAAACTCCTTTATTTAAAGATTTATTTGTTTATTTGTTTGAAAGGCAGTTACAGAGAGGCAGAAGCAGAGAGAGTGAGAGAGAGGTCTTCCATCCACTGGTTCAGCCGCAACGGCTGGAGCTGGGCTGATCCGAAGCCAGGAGCCAGGAGCTTCTTCCAGGTCTCCCACGTGGGTGCAGGGGCCCAAGCACATGGGCCATCCTCTACTGCTTTCCCAGGCCACAGCAGAGAGCTGGATTGGAAGTGGAGCAGCCAGGGACTTGAACCAGCGCCATATAGGATGCCAGCACTGCAGGTGACAGCTTTACCTGCCACAGTGCTGGCCCCGTGATAATTCTTAAGATGCGACAGAACCCTGCATTTTTACACAACTGGACCGGAGGGGCTCTGCCTCACCGCCCCCTCCCCAGCTCTGTTCCAGACACTTCCCACACTTTCCATCATGCCCTGCTCTGGTTATCTGATGATTTCATTCCCGTCCAATCCACCACATTTGTTTCTCCAAGTGAATTATCCATTCTGGTACCCGCCTGGGCACTCAGAATTGGAGAGGTGATGTGTGTGCTAAACCTTCCAGCACATTCCCTGCCCCAATACGTGATTATCGAATCCAGACAATTTTATCTTTTAGGGGAAGAACCCCCCCTCCCCAGCTTTTCCTAAAGAAATGAAGGTAGGCAGGTGGGAGGGGATAAGCTGGTGTCGCCTGCACCGCGGACCGGGAGGACACTGGACACATCCAGGGCAAAATCCTACACCCACAGAGGACTCTGCAAGGAAGCGGGAGGGGACACTGTCCAGCCAGGGGCCAGCGACCTGAGGACTCTCTGTGCGCAGCCCACAGCACACTGCCCAGTCGCACAGGCCGGGACACCAACGGGGCTGCCCAAGAGCCTGCGCCGGCTCTGTCACCGAGAGGCCATTCTGGCCCCCAAACCAGGGCGCGCCCCGCCCAGCTCCTACTGCCCACGCCGGGCCCACGGCGCTCTCTCCAGGGCACCCGGCAGAAGCGGCCTCTGGCCTGCTGGACCGGCGCACGCTCTCCACCAGGGCAGCGACCCAGCGCCAAGACGCGGCTTCTCCGAGCCCAGCACCGCACGCAATGCTCCTAGAACCGACGCGGGAAAGAGGCTTTTCCGAGCGACCCCCGCGTCGGTGCGGGGAGGCCGAGGCTAGCGGACCACTCCTTCGCTGGGCAAGGGCCACGCTCCAACTCAAAATGCGAGCAGCTCCGAGGGACGATGCTCACACGCACCCGCACCCGCACTCCCGTCCAGGACCCCAGCGTGCCGGCGGGCTGGCCACTGCCCACTCACGAGTCATCAGCAGCCCCGTCCGCCCGTGCGCGGGCCCGGCTGCCCACCACGGTGCCCGCTGCCTCGGGAGACTGCCTATCCTCTCCCGCCTTTTTTTGGGAGAAGGGGGCGCGCTCCGCTTCTGTAGCTCCGCGTCCCCCGCGCTACCCGCCTCCCTGCCCAACCCCCGGCCCTCCCCCAGGGAACCCAGGGTCCACTCGCCGAGAGCCGCGCGCCCCTCGGGCCATAACAGCGTTTTTCTGCTCGGATCGCGGAGCCCAGACGGGCCCGCGCGCGCCCCGGGGGGCCCAACGGCGCTCGGTGGGTGGGGGCCATCTCGCAACCCCGCGCCCGGACCCCGCGCGCGCCCTCACCCCGGCCCCGGCCCGCGCGCGCCAGCCCCGGCCGCGGCGCGAGGCCCAGCCCGCCTCGAACAATGCGCGCCCCGCCCCGCGCCCGCCCCCGCGCGCTCATTGGCCGGGCTCGGGTTTGGGCCCCGCGCGGGGCGGGCGGCGGCGCGCGTGCGCGGGGCGGGCCTGCGCGGGGCGGGGGCGGTGCTTTGTGTGCGGCCGGCGGGAGCGCGGCGGCGGCGGCGGCGGTGGCGGTGCGGGGCTGCGGGCGCCGCGGCGGGCGGGGCGCGGCAGCATGGAGGAGCTGAGCAGCGTGGGCGAGCAGGTCTTCGCCGCCGAGTGCATCCTGAGCAAGCGGCTGCGCAAGGTGCGTGCGTGCGGGCCCCGCGCCCCGGGCCGCCCCCGCCGCCGGCTCATGCGCCCCTCTTCTCTTCCGCAGGGCAAGCTGGAGTACCTGGTCAAGTGGCGCGGCTGGTCCTCCAAGTGAGTTCTCACCACGCGGCGCCCGCTCGCCCCGCCGCGCCGTCCGGGGGCCAGGGACGTCCGCGCGCGCGGGGCGGGAAGTTCGCGGAGTGCCCTGGGCTCGGCGGCGCCGGGGCGCCCGGTCCCTCGGGGGCCGCCCTTTGTTTTCATCCCCGCAGGGCGCGGGACTGGGCGGCCTGGGGCCCGGACTCCCCTCGGGCCGCGGCCGAGCCCGCTGCGCCCTGCGCTGCGCGCGCCGCTCCGCGCCCATTTGTTGCATGCGCCCCCCGCCCGGCCCAAGCCCCCTCCTCCCGTGCATAGTTCCCCGCTGTAACCTGAGCTTCCTATTGATGGATGCGAGGCAGCTTTTTTTCTTTTTTTCCTGCTCTCTTTGAATGGAGGAGGGGGAATCCGGTGTCCCCGGAAGGGGCCGTGGCAGCGGCCGCGGCACCCGACTCTGCGCGTCCCCCGCGGCGCCCCGGCCCGCGCCCGGCCACATTGTTCTCGGTCCGGGCCGCGGCGCGGTCCCCTCGGCCTCCCCGCCCTGGCTCCCGGCCAGGCTTTGGGGGATTCCCTCTGCAAGTTTGCGTTTTACTGGAACGTGTTTTCCTCGCCGGCGCAGCTGCGGGAGCCCTCTTGTGGTCTGTTTTAATTGGGGGGTTGGGGTGGCAGCGAGGGCCCCCGGGGCCTGCGGTTGGGGACCGCCGCGGCGCCCCTGCCCTCAAACCCGTGGCTGCCCGGGGTCCGAGGGTCGCAGCCTGGGGTCTGACGCGCCCCCCTCTTTGCCTTCCAGACATAACAGCTGGGAGCCGGAGGAAAACATCCTGGACCCTCGGCTGCTCCTGGCGTTCCAGAAGAAGTGAGAAAGCTCCCCGGGGGGGGGGGGGCTTGGGGGCCGGGGGCGGGCGCGGCTGAATCTGAGGTCGCCGGCGGCCGCGCCGTGCGGTCTTGAGTAGTCTGGGCTGAGCGCCTCGGTGGGCTAACACTAAGAACCACTGGGATGGTAGATTGGCCCTGCCCCGCCCCTCTGGGAGGGGGCTCCCCAGGGTCTGTCCTAGCGGGTCCCGCAGAAATTGAATTAAAAGAGGAGTTGCTTTTGGTGCAGAAAAGCTTCTTGAGGTACGTGCGTGGTGTTTGGCTTTTTTTAACTCTCACGCACTTTTCCCATGGACTTTATTGAAGATCCTGGGTGACTCCCTGAGAGCCGGCTTGGGGCTGGGGTTCCAGGTGTTACGGCCATTGTGGAGAGCGGTGGTCCGGGGTGGGCAGCGGATGTGCTGTGCTGCTGCGAGCAGGGGGATCGGCCGAGCCGGCAGGCGTGCTCTGAGCTCTGAGTGGTGTCGGCTGTTTGCACGGACCGCTCCCTGGGGACGCTGGAAGCTGGACATTCGGGTCTCCCAGAGGCCCACGGTGAGGGTGCACAGCCGGGTCTTCAAAAACTCCGTAGGAAACGCCTGTCCCCGGATGTGTGGATTTTTAAATTTTTTCTGAATGCAGCTTGTCTTCTCATTCCATTTTTGCAGGCACTGTTTGAAATAACTGGCACCTGTGCGCAGTGCCTCTGGTAAAGTCCTCCCAGCAGCTCCACTGTCTGCGTTTAATTTACAGCGTTGGTGCTGGGAGCCTGGGGGCGGGGCTGCGGGTGTTTAAGGCAGGATCCTGGGGGGGGGGGGTGTCCTTGACCTGCCTCTCGGCGGTAGCAGAGGTGTCCAGGGGATGCCCGCGAGGAGTCTGGGCTGCATCCTGGAGAAAGGGCAGTGGGGTTGGGGTGTCCTGCCCCCCCACCCACCAGAGCGCCCTCTGAGCTTGCCCACTGTGGGGTGCAGGGCAGACATGGCCTTTGCGCAGAGGGGGAGGTCACAGGTTCCAGACCTGCAGTGCGCAAGGTGGTGTCCAGGGGCTCACAGCCCCATTGTCTTTCCCGGAGATCCCAGGTCAGGGGCCACGGCTGCGGGGAAGCCTTGCCTGGTGTGTGAATCGGATCCTCGGGAGGTTGTCTTCCGGACGGCCCGAGGGGTCTGTCTCGGCTTCCTAGTCTGCAGATCGCGCCCCTTCCCAGGACCAAAGTCCCAAAGACAGGCTCGCTGGGGGCTGGGGCTGCACCAGGGGCGCTGCGTGGGGCACCGGTGTCAGTGGCCACCGTCATCTCCGTCGAGAGCAGTAGGAACAGGGGTGTTGGGAAAGGGAGACGGGGAGAGCCAAGGGCGGCGTCGGGGCTGGTGCTGTCCCTGCTCCCAGGGCCAGTGAGGGCTCAGGTGCACAGGTGTGGAGGGGGACCCCTGCCCCGGGCTTCCTTCTCCTGTGTGGACTGGGGGACCCCAAGGCCTGCGTCTCGTTAGCCCGCGGTAGGCTCCCCAAGACGTGATGTTTTTATTGCTCAGGCTCATCTTTACCCGAGTCTAAGGGGATAGGTTGACTTCCAGAGGGCTCCAGGAGGCGTTGCAGAGTGGGGTCTGGACTTCCGCTGGGGGGTTGTGTGCCGTTTGCTGGGTGTGTCTTCCCGGCCACGCCGATGGCCCGGGCTGGGCCGTCCGTCGGGGAGGTGCCAGGAGCCGCGGGGCTCCCGTGGGGTGGGGGTGGGGGGCTCTACACTGCCCCGCCCCCCGCCCCCGTGACTGCTGCTGTGTCTTTAGGGAGCACGAGAAGGAGGCGCAGAACCGGAAGAGGGGCAAGAGGCCGAGGGGCCGGCCGCGGAAGCACACGGCGACGGCGGCCTGCAGCCGGCGCGCCAAGCTCAAGGTGGGTGCTGCGGGCTGCGGGAGGCCCCCCAGCCCGCTCCGGAGCCGCTTCCTGCTGCCGGCAGTCTGCTTTCTGCCGGGCAGCAGGGTTGTGCCTGGCGGCTGCCCGGCCCCAGCAGCTGACCAGGAAACAGGAAGCGGGTGTGCGGTGTGAGCGTGGCCTGGGGGCCCTCACGGGCAGCCGGTGGAGCCAGGACACTGGGGCCTCGGGCCTCTCTCCGGTGCACGGAAGGCAAGGCTGCTTGCGCCCAGCGCTGACTGCCTGCCAGGGTCCCCAGTGTGGGGTGGGGTGGGGTGCACGCACCTCCAGTCTGGGGCATTGCTCCTCCCGCTCGTCCTGCTGCCGGTGACGTGGCGAGGCAGGAGGGGCGGGGTCCTGGCCCTGGTGTCCCCTTGATTGCTTTCTCCAGGCCGCTGCCCACCCCCAGCCCATGCTGAGACCACGAGCCAGCCACTTAGACCCCCTTCTAGGAGATTTGGGTTCCCTGTCTTAGGGTCTGTGGCTTCGTTTTGTCTTTGACCTGGAAGTTCCAGCAGGATGGTGGGGGTGCAGGAGTCCCGCTGTGTGCGGGACCCTCCTGGTTGGATGAGGCAGCCCCTGCCTGCTCCGAGCTCTGCGGGCAGCGTGGGGACCTCGCTGGGGGGAGAGAAGGCCTGGGGGCTGGCAGGCGCTGGGCGGCCGGGTCTGGCCACAAGACGGCCGACGTGCTCACAGCTGCCCCGGAGACGGGAGTCTTGCGGCTACACCTGCATCCCCGGGAGAGCCGGGCGTGGGCGGGACATGGCGGGTGCCAGTCCCCTGCCGTCTCCAATGCCACCTTTTTCTATAGTTGAAGCCTTTCCCGGAGCCACCCGGCGGTGAGCCGCTCCTCGCTGCCTCTGGCTGGCGCAGAAGCCGCCCGCGTGAGGTGCCCGGGGCTCGGGGGACCGTGCGACCAGGCAGGGAGGCTGAGGCGCCGTCCGCTTTCCCTCTAGGAGTCCGACACGCCCTGCAAGTCCAAATCCAGCAGCTCCTCCTCTTCCTCTACGTCCTCCTCCTCATCCTCAGACGAAGAGGACGACAGCGACCTGGACGCCAAGAGGGGCCCCCGGGGCCGCGAGACCCACCCAGTGCCTCAGAAGAAGGCGCAGATCCTGGTGGCCAAGCCGGAGCTGAAGGACCCGGTCCGCAAGAAGCGGGGACGCAAGCCCCTGCCCCCGGAGCAGAAGGCAGCGCGCAGGCCCGTGAGCCTGGCCAAGGTGCTGAAGGCGGCCCGCAAGGACCTGGGGCCCCCGCCGCTCAGCGCCCCCGTGGCTGGCCTGGCAGCCCTAAAGGCCCACACCAAGGAGGCCTGCGGCGGCCCGAGCGCCGTGGCCACCCCGGAGAACCTGGCCAGCCTGATGAAGGGCATGGCGGGCAGCCCCAGCCGCGGCGGCATCAGCTGGCAGAGTTCCATCGTGCACTACATGAACCGGATGAGCCAGGGCCAGGCGCAGGCCGCCAGCAGGCTGGCGCTCAAGGCCCAGGCCGCCACCAAGTGTGGCCTCGGGCTGGACCTGAAGGTGAGGACACAGAAAGCAGAGCTGGGGCTGAGCCCCCCAGGAAGCAAAGTCCCCAAGGTCACCAGCGGCGGGGCCATAGAGCAGAAAGCGGGGAGCACCGTGGGGCCCCCCCATGCCCATGGCGGCGGCAAGGTACCCGCTGGGTGCCCCGGTCCCCAGCCAGCACCCACGCAGGAGCTGAGCCTGCAGGTCCTAGACTTACAGAGCGTCAAGAACGGTGTGCCCGGGGTGGGCCTGCTCTCCCGCCAGGCCGCCGCCAACAAGGCTGGCACCCCTGCTGCCGCCAGCCCCGCCACAGGGAAGGGCGCCGGGGGTGGCCCCACAGCGGGCAGTGGGGGCAGCGTGACCGTGGACACCAGCAAAGGCGAGAGGCTGGCCTCCAGGGCTTCGGCTCTGCCCACCCCCACGGGCAAGAGGGACGGGGTCAAGGGCAGCGTCGCCCCCGGCGGGCAGGACGGCAGCGCGGCCCCTGGCGAAGGCCGGAAGGCAGCTGCGCTGTCAGAGATGAGCACGGGCGAGGAGAACAGCAGCTCCGACTCGGACCCTGACTCCGCCTCGCTGCCCAGCGCCGGCCACAACCTGTCCGTGTCCGTCCAGACCAGCCAGGACTGGAAGCCCCCGCGCAGCCTCATCGAGCACGTCTTTGTCACTGACGTCACCGCAAACCTCATCACTGTCACCGTGAAGGAGTCCCCCACCAGCGTGGGCTTCTTCAGCCTGAAACATTACTGAAGGCCCCGCGGCCCACCTGCCCTGGCTGCCGACCCGCGGCCCAGACCCTCTGGGGAACTGTGTCAGGAGGAGGGTAGGGGGCTCCTTTGGGCAGGCTCACAGGGACTTCTCCCTAGACGCCCCCTGACCTGGGCTTGGGGCAGGGGCTGCAGCCCCCCAGCGTCCTACCTCTCTGGGCCTCTGCCTTGCTTCGCCCTTCCACTCAGGAAGCCTGGGCTGCCCCGACAGTCTGTGCGGCAGCAGCCCGCAGCCCGGCTCCTGATTGCCGGAAGGGGGTCTCCTGGCCCAGCCTGACGGCTCTGCCCCAGGGTGGAAGAGAAGGGGGGGGCGGTGGGTTTGTGCAGGAAGGGCTCTGCTGGTGGTTCTCCAGGCGCCAGACGGTGGAGCAGGGGTGACCCCTCCCCCTTCCAACACGGTGCCTGGGCAATCAAGGGCAAGGGGGTGGACCCTGTTCCTGGCAGCCAAGGGCGAAGGCCTTACTGTCAGGACGGTTGCTGGCAGCTGCTGGGGTGAGTTCAGGAGCCGGAAGGGGGTGGCCTGGGTGCTGTCTGTCCCCAACTCAGGAGAGCACCTGCAGCCCCAGCCCTGTTGGCCCAGAAGTCCACTGAGGGTGAGGGGCGGCTGGTCCCAGGGCTCTTCCATCTGAAGAGCAGCTCTGGGGACAGAACAGATGTCACTGCTGCCTCTCCTGCTGGCCTGTGCCCCTGCCCAGGGCCCAGTAGGGCGCTTCCAGGTTCCAGGATTGGGGAGGTAGGCTGCAGGTGCACAGCTCCGCTGGCTGGGGCAGTGGTTGGGCCTGGACTGGGCTGCGAGCCGACCTCTGCGGCAAGCCTCTTCCTCCAGCCGCTGGGTTCTCCCCGTGACCCCGCAGGCTGGCCCCGCGGCACCGGAAGACAGGCGTGCAGCCATTGCGGGGCTGTCCTGCGCCGGCTCCCGGAGGTGGTGCAGGGGTTTGCTGAAGCCTGCAGAGCCGGATGAGCCAGCCCTGGGGTGCCACTTCCCCTGACAATCCCCCCCACTTGGGGGTTCATTGCCTGCTCTCCGCTGGGAGGCCCTGTCCCTGTGCCATCTGGGAGGCCCCCTGGCAGAAGGCCCCCGGGGAGCCCGGCTCTGTCTGCCAGCCTTGGCGCTGAGGCCCTATCACCCCTCCCTGAGAAAGGCAAGTGCTCAGGGCCGAGCCTCTTCCCAAGTGCCCCCGCCAAGATGCCTGTGTTTTGGGACCACCCAAGACTGGTGTCCGAGCTGCTGTCCCGAGAGGACAGCTTGGGGCAGAGAGGTGGTCCGTGGGTGGCCTGGAGACTGGAGGTGGCAGCGGAGGGCAGTAGGTCACTGGGTCTCTCTGTGATGCCAAAAAGAATGGCGGGGCCAGCACGGCAGCTGCGTCTGCTGTCCGTGGTGGTGCTCGGCGGAAGGCAAGGCCTCACCTGCAGGCCCCGCTGATCCCTCACCCTCTGTGCCAAATAGCAAGAGGTGGCCTTGGTGAAGCCAAATTGAGCTCAACGGCGTGCCTTTGTGGACAGAACTTGTCCGTGACTGCATCGAGGGCCGTCTGGGTGCAGCCCCCTGGTCTGGTGCCCCTGTCTGCAGACTGGAGCCCTGGGGGTCCCCAATAAGGAGGCAGCGAGGGCCAGAGTCGGCCCCTGTGCTGTTCTAGGGAGAGACCAGCTCACTGTCCTGGGGATTGGATCCAGTGGCCTGGGATCCTGGCTCCCGATAGCCAGTGCCTCGCTCTTTCTCAAGGGAACTGAACCCCAAGCTCTACGGCGTGTTTCCTGCCGGGGCGGGCCCCAAGGCCAGGGGAGCAGCTCCTGGCCACGCCCTCGGGTCTCTGAGCGGTCAGGGAATTGGGGGGCGCCTGCGCCCGCCGGCCGCCTCCCCTGCCCTAATTCGGTGCCTTTGTTTACCAGCTTCTGCAATCCCAAAGTTTGAGTCTGCGAACACCTTAGCCCCAGCCACTTTGCCTTCTCGCTGCGTCCGTGTCTTCCTGGCGCATGTGACCAGCAGGTGCACACACGGCCCCAGCCTCTGCCAGGGCACTGCATCAGATGCGCAGAGTGGGATGTCTATGTTTACCAATAAATAAAAGTAGTACTTTTTGTATTTTGATTTGCTGCTATCTGTGTGTAGCTAGGCATCGGTCACCCATCTGATCTGCCGTGTCCCTCCCTGGGGTCCTAGGTGAGGCTTAGCATGGTGTGTGTGTGTCAATACGTTCCTACCCCGTCTTGTCTTTGTTTGCTTCTGTATCATGTAGGAAGAAATGGCTTGTCTGTCCTGTTCCTTAGAGGGGTCAGATATTTTTATATATATATTTTTGGTACCAAAAAAGAGTGTTGCTTGCTTTAGTTACACTCAAAACCCTGATCTGACTAGCGAGGGCGCTGGGCCTGACCTTTCAACCCATGCCAATCACTGGCTGGATTTGTGGTTTTTTAATTAAAAAAAAAAAAAAAAAAGCCAAATCACCCATATAGGCCACATGTAATTGCCTTACACTGTGGCTGTTTGCTTCATTGCCTTGGGAAAACTTAAGACCTTCGCCTAAAGGACAGCAGCCGGCGTAATCAGCACCAGCCAGTCCAGGGCAGTGTGCCCCCCAGGGAGCCCCTCATGGCTGGGGAGAGGGGGAGGCAGTGCCTACACGAGCAGACTTTCCAGTGCGCCTCATGACCCTAGAGCTTTCTGAGTATTTGGGGGAACTAACACTAGCATAGGTGCAGCTTCTTTAGGGCGGTGTTAATTTATTTTTGCTGGAGAAATTAGCAAAGGGTGTCACAGGTTTGCATCATTTTGTTAACTCTTAGATATCAATAAATATTTTTTTTAAAACTTTGCTGCCTGGCGTGCCTTGTGTGTGACCGCTGGGGACACGGGAGACCTCACGTCCCCTTTCTGGAGGTGGATTGCCCACGTGGCCCCGGACTGGAGGGCGGTGCTGAGCAGAACCAGAGGCTTGGGCGAGGCCGATCCGAGGCCGATCCGCTGGGTGCCGAGGACGGTTCCGAGCGAAGGGCAGCGTCCCTGTGCCAGTGGCCCCACGCCAGAACAAGGGCGCTGTGGAATCCTGCAAGGCACAGGGCAGACCCCCACCACAGCGGCCAAAGGGGCTGTGGGCGTGGCTGGGTGTGGGCGTGGCGGGAACGGCCTCCCCGCGATGGTGAGGGCCAGGGAGGAAGCTATGCCAAGTCCAAGGGCGGTACCTGCCCCTGAAGACAGCTCCCTTCCGGAGACATCTCCAGCAAACCGAAACGCCCACGGCACCCGAAGGCACCGTTGCCCACGTGTGGCAGCACTTCAGATGGACGCAGCTGTAAAATTCCAGGGCAGTCGCAGGGGCGCCCTGCGGGGCTCCCAGAGGAGGGGTTTGCTGGTGGCCAGACCCTTCCTGGCCGGCCCACGTGAATGTATTCGTCCATCTCAGCCTGCAGGGAGGACCAGGCTGCTCTGAAGTGGAGAGAGAGGTTGGGCTTTGGGTGTTGCCCCGCCCTTCGCCCAGTCGGTGGCCGGGGGAAGGCTGGCAGAGGAGGCCTGCGCGTGCTGGGCCAGGCGGACCCTCCCACTAGAAGCAGAAACACAAGCCCCCAGCCCCGCCAGCTCCAGAGACACCTGCTCAGCTGAAGTCGCTTCTTCACCTGCGGTTTTGTTTAGGAGGGCAAGTGTGGCCAGCAGTCCCAGTGCTGGGTCTGAGAGCGGCCGCCGGGGGTTGGGAAGGAGCGAGCCGGCCAGCAGGCGCCCGCGTTGCCCTCCCCCAACCCCCACGACGACGGCCCTTTCCGCGGGGAGGGACCCGGCACAGGCCGGCCTTTGTGCGTGTCCCCCGTCGCTGCCATGGCGCTCGAGGGCGCCTGGCAAAGCGGGCGCTCAGAGGACAGGGACGCGCGGGACTGGACAAGGGCGCCCCCCCCACACACCGCCTGGCCGTAAGCCTCCCGCGCCGCGCCTGGGTGGAGGGAGCAGGGGCCGTTGCGGCCCCACGTCGGGAGCCAGAAAGGCACGGGCCTCTGGGGAGGGGGCGGACGTCGCCTCAAGGGGGCGCGCGCGTCCCACGAAGTTGGGGCCGCGGGCGCTTCGGACGTGCGCGGTTGCGGGGAATCGCAGGCGGGGAGTGGGCGCGACGGCACGGAGCCTCGCCTGGGCCGTGAGCTGCCCCATCTCGGACTCGGGCTGTGAGCCTGGAGGACTTCTCGGGACGACGGGAAGCCCAGTACCGACTCGGGCGGGCCCGCGGGCCCCTGGCCTCCCGCGCACGGCAGAGGACCTCGGCCAGGATCCGTGCGCAGCAGGCGTCGGAGGCGCAGAAGATGGCCCCGGCCGACGGCCCGGGAAGAGCCCCAGGCCGCTGCTCGTGCTGCGCCAGGCTCCGGGGCGCCCGCGCCTGACACGGAGAGGTGCGGGGCAGCTCCGGTCGCAGCCACGGTTGGTGATGGCGGCAAACCAGGAAAAGCGGCGGGGCCGGCGCCCTCTCGTCTCCCCTTACGCACGACCCCGCTCCGCTGCCCTAAACTGAGGAGAGGACGCGGGAGGGCAGGAGCGCCGTCCAGGCAGCAGGACCGCGTCTGCGGGGCCGGCCGCGACCCTGCGGAGCCACCCCAGTCACCGGACAGTCCCGGGCAGAGCTGACCCCACCCAGGACGCCGTGCGGACCCCTGGGGGCTTGCGTCCCGCCCCCGGCCCGCGGCGCAGGCAGCTTCCGTCCGAAGGGCACTGGACGACCCGCGGCCCCCCTCCACCAGGGCCAGAGCTGGGGGTAGAAGTTGGGGAGCTCGCCAAGGTGGGGCCGCCCCCTCCCCGACTCCCCGGCCAAGGTGAGAGGCCGCAAGGGCGCCTTGTGCCGGTGCGCCTAGCCCGCGGTTCCGGCGAGGGGGGCTGCGGAGGTGGACCTCCCGGGAGGTGGCTCTCCTGCGCCGGCCTCACGGGCGCCCTGCACCGCCCTCGGCCGCTCCTGGCCCAGCCCCGCGTGGACGGCGCGGCGGCTGCGGGCTCGCTAATCACATCAGCGCGCTCTGCGCCGGCTCCGAGCCGGCTGTTGCCTAGCAATGCCCGCGAATTCAATTCCTCAATCAATAGGCGCGAGGCTGGGCGGGTCCCGCGACAGCGCTGCTGGGGTGCAGGCCCTTCCGGAAGCCCAGCAGCCAGGTCCCCCGAGCCTCCGAGGCCGTCGATGTCCGTTCTGGGGGTGGGGCACGCGGGGGTGAGGGGAGCCCCGCCACTGGAAAGGGGAACCCCGAAGGGTGCCCGACGTCGGCTTGGGAAAGTGCGGTCTTGGGTGAAGAAAGACATTGCCAACCCCGCGCCCACCCTGGGGAGGCAGAGGAGTGGGACCCCGCCCCCTCCCAAGCCCGTCTGTGTCCCTCCTGGGTGGCGTCCGGCCCCAGCTGACCTAGGGCCTCTGCGGGGAATCGCTCCGGGTCTGAGGCGACCACGGGGGCGACGGTGAGGGATGGGATGGGCAAGAAGGCAGGAGGGAGGGGCCCCTGTCTTGCCCTCCGCCGGGGGGAGGCGGAGGGTGAAAGGAACGAAGCCAGGCCGCGTGTGTATTTACAAAGTATATATTTGAACACATAAAAAGTCGCATTGATACAGACATTCACCACCGAAGACAGGTACCGAAGCTTCCCCGAGCCGCGGCGGGCGGCGGCTGGAGATTTGCACACATCTTAAGAATTCAAGAAACCCAACTCGCGCGCGTCCGCAGACCCCCCCAGCCGCTCGGCCCCTGCCCTCCCACCCCCTAGGTCAGCGCCGCGAGAGCGAGCTAAGGATACACACGCACTGGACGCACAGACGGCGGGACGAGGGCACAGGCCAGGGCCACCATCGGCCGCGAAGGGCGCGACGTGGAGCGAGGGGAGGGGCGGCCAGGGACGCCTCGGGTCCCCGAGTCCCCGTCCACTCCCTGCCGTGACGTTTCGTGGGAAAACAGCGTCGACAGGGAAATACACACTCGGTCAAGGGCTCTTTGTACAAACAGAGGCTAAAACACCAGGCTTACAAACGTGAGCAGACCAAAGTCCCCACGCGGGGGCTTCTCGGGGCGGGCGCCGCTGAGCTCAACCCAAACCCAAGTACTGGCGCGCCTTTCTCCCTTTTGCTCTCCTGAAAGCCTGTAGGAGAGAGAGGTCGGGCAGCCCGAGGTGGAGGGCGCAGACCGCAGAGGCTGGGGTTCCCGCCTGTCCCCCAGCACCGCAAAGCACCCACCTCCAGGCCACGCCCTCTGGCCGGGGGTGGGGGTGGGGGGTGGGTCGGGGTCTGCGCGTAGTCCGCGCCCCTCCCCCGAGAACCCTTGGGAATGAACCCTGGACCGGCCCCGTAAGGGCGCACAGGCAGCCACTAGACCACTGCTCCGAGGTGCGGGGGCGGGTGCGGGTGCAATTTGTGCTTTTGAGCCAAAAGAGAGGCGCGCGGCGGGCCGAGGCCGCCAGGGCGGGGGCGGCGCGGGACCCGCCGCCTCCGTCCCCGCCCCCCAGCCAGCGCTCCCCACCCCCCGCCCCGCTTTGGCGGAGTTTGAAAGTCGAGTTCAAATAGAGAACACTCCGCGAATCGAAAAGGCCTATAAATTATAGCTTTTGCTTTTAAGAAGGAGGGCGGGGGTAGGGGGGAAGGGACCAGCCAAAGTTCTGATGCGCGTTCTTGGAAGCAAGGCGCGCCTCGCCCTCCTTCCACTCGGCCCGCCTGGGCGCGGGGCGCGAAGCCTAGAGCCCCGGCCCCGCGCGCACCCCCAGCCTGGCCGCGCCAGGGCCCGGGAGCGCAGCCCCCGCCTCCAGCCGCGAGTCCCCAGGGTGGGCCGGTGGGGCCGTGCGTCCGTCCGGAGCGGGCTGCCAGCCCTCCCCGAGGGCGCGGGGGTGGGGTGGGGTGGGGGGAGCGCTCCTCCAACTCTTTCTGCGAGGCGGGGGCCGCCGTCTCCTGGCGAGACTGGAGGACTCGAGAGGGAAGCGTCCACCCGAGCGCTTTTCTTGGAAAACAACTGCGTCGAGGTCTGGGCACCGCCGCGCAATCCTCCCAATTTATCCTGGCATTTCGGGAATGTAAACACATTCGCTGCATTTCGTTTCTTTCTGCGGAGCAAGGAGAGGAACGGAGGGAACGGGCAGAGTTCATCCACCCGACGTCCACCCGGCCTGCGAGCGTCCCGCACACACACGCGCGCCTCCCGTAAAGTGCGTTTCCCGGCGTGGTCCCGGGAGGACACCTCCTGCGCCTTCTTAACTCCAACGTCACACACGAAGAAGTTATGCTAGTTAATACTCCCCCCCCCCACCAGACTTCTTAATATTTAAAAAAGAAAAAAGGAAAATCAGACTGATCCCACCCCCCTTTTTTCTGATTGGGGAGCCAACCTTTTGTTGGCCTGGCTGGCCAATGGGAAGAGAGCAAAGACCCGGGGCCCTGCCTCGGTGCCCAGAGCCTGGCAGTGGGCTTGGGGAGAGGGTGGAGGGCAGAGGTACGCAGGCCGAGACCCCGAGACGCCCTCGGCTCCGAGGGTGCCCCTGGGGGGGGCTGGGGACCCCTCCTGCCCCCAACTCGACTTGCCTACCCCCGCTAAACCACACAGTCTCTTTCTCCCTCTCTCCTTGCTTAAATAAAACAACTTCAAGAGTTGAAATATATATATTTAGATATTTTTCTTAAATAACATATTTACATCTAATAGAAAATATAACTCTAGAGATCACGTTTCCAGCCAAAACTGATGAGGGAGGAAGGAGGAAGGGAAGGGGCATGACGCTGGGCACAGGACCGGCCAGAGGGACGGGGCCCACCGGAAATCAAAAGCTCTCTGCCAAGGGTGCGCTCGCCCCCGCCTGCTCTCCCGTCCTGGGGTCTCCCACCCAGGTATTCATCTTTTCTCCTTAAAAAAGCCTTGGTCCGTGTTACTTTCCTTGATGGTGACGGTCAGAAAGTTTGAGGTCACGTCGGTGACAACCACCTTCTCCAGGTTGGTCAGGGAGGGGCTCCACGACTCCTCCTCTGGGTCCCCCAGGATTCTGGCCACTGGGATCCTGGCGATGAGGGAGGGCCTTCCTCCCTGTGCCCCCACGTCCCGGTACAGGCCCCCTCCTGAGCCAGGGGTGCCAGAGCCGTGTCGCACCCTGGGGCCGCTGGAGTCCAGGGCGCTCTGGCCTTTGGCCTCCAGGAAGGCGGCCCTGTGCTTTATGACCCTGGCCGGGAAGGTGTCCACAGCCAGCTTGCCGGTGGCCTCGGCCGGGCTGGGGCCGGTCACTCCGCACTGCACCAGGTCCGAGTCTTGCCTCCGGGCCAGCTGGATCACACTATGGCCGGCGGGGAACTTCCCCGGCCCAGAAGGGGCATCGTCCAGCTTCCTGCCCTTGAGGTACTCCGCGAGGCCGTCGCTGGCCTCCCCTAGGGGCCTCTGTGAGGGGTCCAGCAGCTCCTTCCGGGGCTTGGGGCCTCGCTTCTTGGAGCTGTCCCCGGGGGAGCTGGGCTTGTCGTCCACACGGCTGGTGCCCCGCTCTCGTTCTCGTTCTCGCTCTCGCTCCCGCTCCCGCTCCCGAGGGGGCTCCGCTCGGCAGGTGCTGCTGGTGCTGCCGCTGCTCCCTGGTGGACACAGACCCATGTTCCGAAGTCCCTCGCGCGCCCGGGAGGTGGAGGCCAGGTCCTGGGGCGAGCGGCCGGGGTAGGGGATCCGGATGCCCCTGGCGGAGTCACTTCGGAACTCGTAGGTCTTGGCCTTGGCCTTGGCCTGGGCCTGCGGAGGAGAGGGTGGTGTCAGGAGCCGAGCTGGGTGCCTCCCTCAGGGCCCCTCCTCCACCCTGACCTCCCTGAGGATCTGTCCATGGCTGGGCAGGCGATGGGGCTTCTGTGTGGCGTCTGGGGAGAGGGGAAGCAGCCGCCTGCAGCCCAGGCCTCCCTCCTGGACGCGGGGCTGTTTTGTCTAAAGGGATTCCAGCATGGCTGAGCTGCACCCCGGCCAGCCCTCACTGCCCCCACAGACGGGACGGCACCTCCTGGGGGACCCTCTCTCCCGTCACAGAGAGGCCCCGTCCAGGAGCCGCCAGACACCACCACACCGCTGTGCCCTACCTTGAGAAGGAAGGTTTTGGGTTTGGGTCCTCGCTTTTTGGGGCCATAGAGCTCCATCTCTCGTTCCCTGGAGAAAGGAGGTGGGGAGAAGGGGAGCGCGAGTCAGGAGCAGGTGGGGCTCCAGTCCGGGCTGGACAGGGGCCCCGGGGTGAGGGGGTGAGCGTGGTGGGGGGCTTCCAAGGGGCGGTACCTCTCCTCGAAGGCTGCAAGCAGGCGGGCATCCAGGATGTTCTCTTCGGGTTCCCACGTGCTGTACCTACAGGGGAGCAGGAAGGCGCGGAGGGCGTGAGTCCCGGGAGCAGAGGGCGCGCGTGTAACTTTTCTCGTGGCATTGCATCGCATTTCCACGTCAAGAGGGGAACGCGGCAGAGAGACACCTCCCGGGGCCCCCCGTGCGCGGCCCAGGACCGCACGCCGCCTACTCACTTCTGCGACCAGCCCTTCCATTTCACGAGGTACTCCATGCGCCCCTGCAGGAGCAAAGGGGGGGCGTTGTGGGCGGGTGCGTGTGTGTGTGTGTGTGTGTGCGCGCACAAGAGACCCTTGCGCAAATGCATGCACCCGATGCATGCTCCCGCCGCACCGCCGCTGCACAAAGTGCACGCACCGGCCACCCTCCCCGCCCCGCCCCCCACCCACGCAATCTGCGCATCGCTGCAAGTCCAGGGCGAGCGCCCGGGCTCCGAGCCGCCGCCGCCGCCGCCGCCACGGCCGCCGCCGCGGCCGGGGCCGGGGGGAAGGGAGGCTGGGCTGCAGCCCAGGCCCGGAGGGAGGCCCGGCCGGCCGGGGCCCGAGGCCCGGGGCACCTACTTTGCGGATGCGCCGCTTCAGGAGGGCCTCGGCCGCGAACACCCGCTCCCCCACCGCCGAGAGCTCCATGTTGACTCGCCGCTTCCCCCCTCGGCCGCTTCCAGGAGCAGAAAAGCAGCAGCCAGCGCACGACAGACCATAATACTCTCCCGCTGACGTCAGCTCTCCTCCCCCTCCCGCCGCGCTCGCTCCCCCCGCCCGCGCCCCCGCGCTCGGCTCCCTCCGCCCTGCTGCCCGGCGCTTCCTCCCGCCCCACGTGTTGCTAACGACGTTGCTAAAGCCGAGCGGCCGAGGCCTGCTCCCCCGCGCGCTGATTGGCCGCGCGCCGGGCCACGCCCCTCTCCCTGTCGCCCCCGCGTTGCTACGTGACCCGCGTTCCAATCGCCAGGGGGCGGAGTCCGAGGCCACTCCGGAGACCCGGCGCGCGGAGGTGGGGGCCGCCGCCGGAAGTGACGCCGCGGGGAGGCCGGGCCTGGCCGCTGTCAGTCTGCCGGGCTGGCAAGGGGGGCCGCTTGGCCTCTGTCCTCGCCCCAGCCCCCTCCCCCGCCACCAAATCATCCCTCGGGTGCTCGGGGTCCCCCCCACAGCTCTCGCTGGGACCCCCCGCGGCGGTGTCAGCCAGGCCCCGCCCCCTCGGCAGACCCTGGCCCGCCCCGCCCCCACCGCCCGGGACTCGCTCCCTCCCCTCCCCCGCCGCCGCCGCCGCCGCCGCCGCCCGCGCCGCACAATGCACAATGCACAGGTGCGGGGGAGCCGCGGCCGCGCGGAACCCCGACGCCCCGCGACGCGCGCCCCGGCCCCCTCCCCTCGGAGCCGCACGCCGACCCTCGGTCTCCATGGCAACAGCCGCCCCCGCGCCGTCGCCCGCCCGGTCCCGCTAACAAATCAATGTGCCTGTGTCTCGGTCCCTGAGCGCGGCCCTGCCCTCGGCCGCCCTCCGTGTCCTGTGCGCCGGGCCGGCTGCAGCGCTCTGCCCCGGCTCCCGAGGGTGCCAGGCCGTCCCCGCCCGCGGGCTTTGTCGCGCGCCCTCCGACTGCGCCCCCGACGCCCGCACCTGCCCCCTGCCCTCGCTAGGCCCCCAGCCTGGGCGTGTGACGGGCGTGGAAGACCACAGGGTCGGGGTGAGCACCTGGGGGCGCGTCCAGTTTGCTCCGGACCCCGCGCCCGGCCCGCGCACTTCCTGTGCACGGCTTTTCCAGACGCGCCCGCTGGACACCCGGCGAGCACGGGCAGCGCAGGAAGCTCAGGGAGCGGGGTTGTCGCGGGGTCCTGTTGCGGGCTTGGCCGGAGGGTCCCGAGCGCGGAGATGGCGGGCTCAGGGAAGAGGGGGCGAGGGCCGGGCCGCGGACCCCGCGCGGCGCGCTCGCCCGCGCCCTCCGCGCCCTGGGCTCTGCTGGCCCGCGGTGCTCACGGAGGCCCGGCCACCCCCCCACACCCCGCCCTTCGCGCTAACCGTCCAGGCTCCCGGTCCCCGGGCCCGCTCCTGGGGAGTCCAGGATTTGGTTACAGCCCCGAAGAGCCACTCCAGTTTACCTTGGCCAGGGACGGGGTGGGCGAAGGGGAGGGGACGAGAGAGGGAGAGAGAAGCCGCGCGCCAAGGAGTCTGACTCGAAGGGGCAGGAAGCCCAGAGCGGAAAACCGGCCTCCTGTCCAAAGCGAGGGGCGCCGCGGGCGGCGGGCGCGGCGCGGGGCCCGCCTGCGCCCCGGGAAGCACGGGGCCCCCTCTCCCGCGGGCCGTCCCGTCCTGACGCACCGCGCGCCGGCGACGCCCGCGTCGCCCCGAGATCCGACGGCCGGCCGCGTCTTTCACGTTACAAGGTCCCTCCCGGTAACAAATCGTTGCGTCGACCGGTGCCAGCGGGACAGCTGTTTCTGTTTAAGCTTAAATACTTTCCAACAGTTTGGGCAGTAAAAATAAAGTCGGCCTCAGCCGCCTATCCGTGTCTGGTTTCCCCGGCCGAAGAGCAGCCCACCCTCCGCCCTGGGCCCGGGTCGCTCTGCACGCCCCGCCTGCCCCCTCCCGGATCCGCCAGCCCGCCGCGGGGCGTTCTTCGCGCGGGCTCCGGGGTGGCCGCCTGGGAGGCGGGAGCCAGGGAGTCCGCCCGGAGTGGTCAGGGTCCCAGCTGCCTCGCCCCCCTCCCCACCCCATTCCAGCTCTCCTGCGCCTGCGGAGAACGCTGGCTCCCTTCGGAAGGGGGTCCTGGAGCCGGGGCCCCTGTCTGCGGCGGTGCCTTGACCCACCCTGAGCTTTGGTGGCCGCCTGCAGTGTCCCAGCTCCCTCCCGAGAGCCTTCTCCCGCCGAGTTCTCTCTTCTCTCTCCCTTCCTTCCTCTTCCTCCCTCCCCTTCCTTCCTCTTCCTCCCTCCCCTCCCTTCCTCTCCCATTTTTCCTTCTTTGCCAAAACACCTCGGAAGCGCAGAGGGAGCAAAGGACACCCATGGCTGCGCCAGGCGCGCCCACTCCGCTAAGCAGGGCTTGTGAGCCTCGTCTCCACTTCCCGCGCCCTCTCCCCGCGGGTCTCCAAGCTGACCGCTCCTTGCTCTGTACAGACCGCTGTGTTGGCCTCTGTCTGCCGGCGTCCAGGGTTTTGCGGGCGGCCACAGCGAAGGTGGAACCTCCATTCATAGGAGGATCGGGAAAGAAACCCGATACCCCGAGGGCAGCGGGGAGTCCGGACTCTGCGGGCAGCGGAGGAGCTCCGTGCCGTCGAGGAAGACCGCCCCTCCCCGCGCCCTGGGGGGTCGCCTCTGCACCTCCAGAGTGCGCGGCCCAAGCAGAGGTGCCGGTTTGAAAATTGGGCTGGTAGTCAGTTCACAGAGAGCGGAGGCAGGGGTCTCCCCGGATGTGCGAGGGGAGGGAGAGCCGGCCCGTGGGGAGGCTGTCCTGGCCTCCCAGTCAGCTGGTGGCACTGGCCTTGGGAATGAACAGAACAAGGGTCCCGCCTGCGCCTTCCTTTTTGGACCCCCCCTTCCCCGACGGCTCGGGTCCGCTGTCCCCTTCTCCCCTCCACAACGCCGCTTTCCTCCTGAAAAGTTGGGGAACCGCCCGTCGCCCCAGAGTCCACGCGACAAAGTGTCCGAAGCCGAGCGCCCGTGGCGCTGCCTCCCTCCGCGCGCTGCGGGGCCCGCGGCAGCGACCGCCAGGTTGGCGTGCGCCGCCTCTGCAGTGAATAAGGTAACCGCTTCCCGGGACTTCAGCCCCATATGGCTGCAATTTGAGTGCTTTGGAGACGGTGCGTGTGTCGGGGCGGGGGGGAGTGAAAGTGGAAATCAAATACTCTTAGATCGCATTTTTATGAAGGAAATTGTGGGCGATTCTCTTACCGCTCCCCCAACCGCCCCCATAAGCTGCCCCCGTTTCTTTGTTTACGGAAATGTGGGCACCCGCCCGCCCCGAGACACCTGCTTTTCCGAACTCGGGTCTTCTGCCGCGTCCCGCGCTGTCCGAGGGCCCGGGCGCCCGGCCGCGCCTGCCCCTCCCCACAAAGGGTCTCCAGCCCGCTCCCGGGGGCCTGCGGGAGCCCTCCCCCTTGTCCACAAGAAGGTACCAGCCTGGATTCCGAGCCTGGCTTTGTGCCCCTTGCCCTCACCTCCTGGAGTCCCAAGGCCGCCGGGAGTCTACGACCCCTCTGACGCCTCCCCGCGTCTGCTGCCCACGAGCTCGGAGCGGAGAGGCCCGAGGGGCGGGGCTGCCGGGGTGCGTTGCTCGGCCCCCGGGTCGCGGGAGCCGGCCAGGCCGGCACAAGCCCCGGCGCGTCCTCCCAGCCCGAGGCTGAGGCCGGCCTCGGCTCGTTCTCTGGGATCGGTTCAACTCCGCGGCTTGGCGGGCGTCGGACCTGCCCGGTCTTGGCCGCGGACGCGGGCGGATTTGGAGCCCAACCACTTGCCTCGGGCGGGCGGCTCCGAGGCGTGGCCGTGTGCGGCCGCCGGGTCTGCGAGGCTCCTGCCCGGGGCGCGAGTGACCGCCTACTGCCGCAGCGCCCTCCGCCACACGCCGCCCTGCGAAGTTGTCGCAAGGCCCGGTCAGGGCGTGCCTGTCCCCCGCCCGCCCGCGTCTCTGGCCGGGGCTCCAGCTCTGTTCCCTGAGCTCCCTCTGCGTCCTGCAAAGAGGCTCAGGTCCCCGTGGTAGAGAAGGGTTAACCGCACCCCTGCCTTCTGCGGTTACCTTCTCCGCGGGAGGAAGACATCCCTGCAGCCTAGGGAAAGTGTCTCCTCATCTCACATTTTCCCACTTAAAAGTTTTCAGAGCGACCCTGTGAGATAAGTTCTGCTGCCCCCATTTCGTAGACCCCGACCGCGTGAGGCCCAGCGACTTGCCTGGGGACCGCCCTGCAGGGCCGCCGTCCCTAAGTCACCAGGTCAGGTCTCTGACTGGGCGGCGGCCAGGGCTTTGCACCTCGGGACATTTCGGTTCCCCCAGCCCTTGAGGGAGTTCAAGGCCAGACAGGGCTCGCGGACTCTGCTGGAAATGGCCACGTCTGCGAGTCCTGCAGTGACTTCTCAAAGCTCTGAGTAGAGGGGGAAAAACATAAGGAGACGGACAGGGGCGGGCGCCCAGTGAGCGGGACTGGGGGTTGATGGAAATCTCTGTCCTTGCCTTGTGGTTCCAGCACAGTGGCTAAAATTCGAAGGCTCAGGACAGCCTGCCTGGGTTCAAGTGCACCTGCCGGCTGTGTGCCGGCGCGCAGGTCGCTTAGCCCCTCTGTGCTTCAGCTTCCGCGACCGTAACAGGGTGATCAGTGTGCCTACCCAGCAGGTTTCGTGGGGATCACACGGTCGGGCACGGGAAAATGCGCGCTGAACAGTCACTGCTGAGACGTCGGTGCGGGGGTCACCGGTGTCCTGGGACCTGGCCTGGGACCAGGACGCCCTGGTAAGAGCTGGGCGACTTTCCCCCAATGAATCCCGGGTCAGCCCAGGCTCTACCTGCTTCCCAATGAGGGGCTCCCACCGCGAGAGAGCTGAGCGCGCATGGGCGCGCGCCGGGAGCGTGCTGCTCCGCGCAAAGTGGGCTCGTCCCCGTGGGGCATCGGCCCGGAGACGGGCTGGCCGGGAGAGCTCACCGGCGGCCGCTGGGAGCGCGGAGGCCAGACGCGCTGCGGGAGCGGGGCGACAGGAGCACGCGCACAGCGCCCGACCCGGCACGCATGCGCGTCGCGGGGTGGACC